GTGCGCGCGGCGCAGGCAGCACCAATCCAGCGCCGAGAACCCTGCCCGAGCCTGGGCATCCCTGATTCCGGGCGCTGGTAGGTTCATTCCCGAGACTTCGGAAAACGGGAATAGACAAATAGCTAGGGTGGTCATCATCTTGGTTAGCGTGACGCCACAGAGCCACAGATTCAATTAGGCTGGAAAAAACCTCTGTGATCGTCAGCTATGAGCAGCCTTGCCGAGTAGAGCACGGCCCTGACACCACATCCAGTCCTCTGTCAAACACCTCCGGGGACGTGGCTGCACCTCCTCCCTGCGCAGCCCGTTGCCACGGCTAATTTTTCACGTCTCTGTGAAAAATCTCATCCTGACATCCTGCCGGAGCCTCCCCTGGTGCAGCTTCAGACTGACAGACTAACAGACTGACAGACCCTTGTCCTGTCGCTGTGCCCGGAGAAGAGGCCGACCCGCACCTGGCTGCGCCTCCTTTCAGGTGGCTGTGGACAGCGACGAGGTCACCCCTGAGCTCCTGTTCTCCAGGCTGGAAATAAAGACATACATTTTTTCCCCCCACCAATTTCCTCAGCAGAGCTCAGCAGGATGGGGTTTTTTTACCTTTCCAGGCCTCTTCTGTCACCTGTGAGTTCTTCCTCTTTACTCTGAGACTAAAGCTGTTGTTACACAACAAAGCAACAGTTGTTTTGACAAAGTAACTTAGTGTCATCTTTTTTTGTCTAACTTATGTTACGTTGGATACTCTCAGGAAGCAAACATTTAAACTCGTTTTGAATAAATATGTGGGCAAACGTCTTCCACATTGATTAGCACCATCACCAACTACAAATGATAACCCATTGTCAAAATTCAAGTCCCCTGACTTCTGCAGATCTTTATATTTTTGGGTATTCCTCTTGCATTTTCAATGCTATCTTACTAATTGCAGACTCTGTATTAGTCTCCTTTTGACTGCCTACTAACAAGCAATTATTGAAAGCATGTGTAATTTGTATGTACATAAATGAATGACTTCAGTTTTCTCCTTAGCATATCACTTTCTTCGATGAACGGCTAGCACAAAAAAAAAAAAATAAAGAAAGAAAGGGCTGAAGAAATATCCTCAGTCTATGGGGAAGTCACACTAGTAGCACTTTGGTGGGGTGTGCAGCAGCACACGATATCAGTATTTCTGTATTGGCACAGCAGTTGCAGTGTGTGCAGCCATAGAGACTGAGAATCCAGGCTCCAGGGATCTCTGGTTATGCAATGGTATAATACAACATATGTGGGTGGGTGTAAGCCTGAACCCAAAACAGCATGGTTACTGAAGATATACTGCATCTCTGGTGCTCATACTGCTGTTCCCTCATGGGTTCAGACACTATTTGTTGAATATTCTGCTGTAGACAAGGCAAAAAGATTTTTTTTTTTGCAAATGTATCTGAAATTATCTAAAGTGAGAGCAAATAGCTTGACATTTTGTAGTTCCTGCAGAGGATTCTCACACCCTAAAAACAGTATTGTTTATTCAGAGCATCTCAGTCTCCCTGTGTAGCCTGTTGATTTGTTGCTCTTGTGGATGGTAAGGAGGTGGAGCAAAATTCAGATTCCACTGGCAGCATTAGGTGTATTATTTCTGGATTTATAAGTGCCTGCTAGAGGGATTTGTATGAGATTTTTTTTTGTACAGAAATGTAGTAGATGATTGTATTAAAGCAACAAAATAAGTTTACAAATTTTTAAAACACTGAAATTGATGAGAAGCTGAAATTGACAATAGGGGTTTGTTACTGTGATGTGAAAAGCCTTGTAAACTGGATGGGAGATCCATAATAGTTCAGGAGAAGGTTGTGAATGGGATGATGTCCTGCAGTCAAATTTGTGACACAGCAAGAAAGCAAGTGTGTGTGATGCAGAAGCCTTTTACTGCAGGACAATTCTAGGTAATTGTGCTAGCAACCCACACTGGAGTTCACATTGACTACCCAGAGAAAAACAAGTTTTCCTCATCAAAGTCAATACAAAGCTGATAGTCACATTTTGCCCTGGTCGTGTCAGAGTTGAAGTATAACTCAATTCAGTAACCTCTCAGCAAATTTTTTACATTATTTTGTCTGCCAGCTGGCAATTATCAGTATCTCTGTTAACTGAAGCACTGCCTTTTCATCAAGCTGGCTCTGCCAGCTATGCTTGTTCCATGTGGTCTACTGGGAAACAGAGTGGCTTTCTCAGTTTATCATGAGCACCACTGAATTACATCTTTTATTTGGGGAAAACACTTTGAGCAGACAGGAGGCTCCTGTACTAACCTCCATAGTAACCTGTAGAAATCTTAACTATTAAAATAAGGAGCCTTCAGTATGATTACAGGAAGATTGTTTTCTTCATTACAGTGTGGGAAAGGATGATTTAAACTCTCCATGAAAGTGATCAGACACTTCATATTTACAATAAGGATTCAGTATAATTTCTATAGTTTTGCTGTCTTGTGGATCTGATTTTTTTTTTAGTAACTCCTTAACTATAACTTCTTACTCTATTCTGTTTTGTTTACAACTGGTTGGATGTTTGGATCAGCAGTGGGACATGGCACTTCAACTGTGTGCCATTGGTGCAGATCCTGCTGAAGACATTAACTAGCTGGTTTAATAAATGATTAATTAAATTTAAAACATTTCCATTTGTGCCACTGGTGCAAATCCAAGTCAGGTCAAGAGCCTAGCTGGCTCAATGGTTAAGTAATAGGAAACAAAGTTGTATCTCCAGCTTATTCATGTGAGTCTATAAACAGTCAGGAAACTAAGGCTGAGACTTTAAAATAAAAAGATTTTCCAATTCAGCCGTCGTTTTGAAGTCAGTCTATTACAGGTTATTACTTTCTGATATGTTTACATACTCTGTGTTGATCTACAAATTTTGAAAAAGAAGAGTACAAACATTTACATGTGTAACCACTGCCACTGATGTAGCACAATATTCATCACTCTAAAAGAGGGTGAGAGAGGTGATTTCTCCAAACAATCCATTTCCTTGGGCAAGCATCTAGGAAAAATACAGATCATGCACCATATTTTAGCTATGTAGGGTTAGAAAACCATCCAAATGTCATCATGGCATATTCCATAGTTCATCCTTGCCACCTGAACATTGCCAGAGGCCTCCTGAGAATCCTTTCTGGATTTCTACCTCCAGTCATGAGTAGGAACCCAATTTCAGTGATTGCTCTAACTATTAACGGGAAACAAAATGTGTTTTGCTTACAGTAAAACTTAATTACTCCTTGCATTGCACCAATACTTGCAACGTCAAATTTGTCTATTAAGCAAATAACCTATATCTGTGAGACTACATGATAAGAGAAGCTGTTAACTCTTCCACTTGGTAACAAACTACATCACAATTTAGCTGATTACTGTTTGCAATGTGGGCATTTGCAGCAATGACAGGCATGTGGAAAACTCCAAAGGAAAGGTGGCCTTGAGAGACATCCATGCACACTCTCTCCCTTCCTGCCTCCTCCCACTCAGCTGCCTACTGTGGTGCAACTTTTGAAATGGCACCATATGCTCTAGGATACAACCTCACATATATTCTTAGAAACAGCAACATCTGGAAGAGTGATATTTACTGAGCTTATGTGCTATGACTTTGATGGCTGTGGTAGTGACAGCCATTTGAGCTGCCTCCAATTCAAACCCATTGCAGCCTTTTTTCTCTTACTCTCCTACCAGGTCAGACCAAAAAATCTCTTCCTTTCCAGTCATCCTTCCCGTGATAAAGGTTATAGCAAACCCCTGTATTCTCATTATTTAATGCACAAAGCACGTCTATCCAGCTTGTCTTTCTTTATCTGAGATTTCAGATGTTACTGTTTTGCTGCTCAGTTGAATAAATGTTTCTGTTTCTATGAGTCTCTGGGAAAGAGTGTTCTGTAGATCTCAAGGACATGCTGGACCACTGTGGTTTTTTGCATTATGCAGACACACAAATTTTTGTCCAGACTTTCCCAGACAGAATTCCTAGGCAGGGAAGTTCCAGATTGAAGTATATCCTCAGCATGGTAACAAGGTTTGAATCCTTCTCTAAGAAGCAGTGGAGGTCTTGCAGATCCTGTGATAAGGATTATCTTTTGATTCATCATCTTTATCTTTTTGACCACCATCCATTGAGCTGGTCCTACTACTTTCTTGGTTCCACCTTGAAAATTATGCACCAGATATTTTACTGTAGTTATTCTGTGTTAATCTGACAAAGTAGGCTTTTCTTGAATAGCACTACACTAAAACAGGGTTTCCTTTCTTTTAGAATAATTTGGAAATGGGGCCAGCCAAAGGCAATCTTGATGCTCCCAGGTGCCAATTCTCGTGGGTCACTGCAGCCCTTACTGCAGAGTACAGCCCGCCCGAGAGCAGAACCAAAGCCTTTGAGATAGGTTTGCAATGTGTGTGACATCTGACTACAAATGCAGTGCCATTGATTCACTACTAGTATGGGTGCCTGACAAAAATAAATGAATCTTAGTGTGACTCCACGAGTGGTGTTGACACATTCAATTGTCTGTGCTTCGTTTGCTGCAAAACAGTAGCTATTTTAGAAAAGCATTTGACGAGTTTAGCATACACAAAGAGTAGACAGATTTAAAAGACATCTTACTGGAACATTCTATTTTTGAGATTTCACTTTGACAAAACTGCCTCATTAAGGACTTGGATATGAAAAGCAGGAAAATGCTTTTGGATCTCATGTAAACTAAATTCAGAATTCTGATGAGCTGAATCAGTTCTTTCCATACATTATTTTCCTTTATCTGTATTTCTCCTTGTTTTTATGTAAGAGATGACATAAAACCTTAAGGTATCTCGATCTTGATGAATGAGCAAGATGACTCCAAACTGTATGAAATAAGGGAGAAAGAGGAAAGAGAAGGTATTTTGAACCCAAATTAAATTATAATATTTTGGAATGAACTAACCACAAATAATCATCACATGTTGTAGCCAAAAGTGAAAAAATGACTCTCCTGCAGGACACCTTGCTGTTTAGTTTGCTTTGACTTAGTATAAGCATTAAAACTATTAGAATAGATCCTCTAAGGAAGAAAAAGATTCTTTATGGCAAAGAGCAGCTGCAGCCTCCTGCCAGCTTGGCTGAAGGCAAATTCACCAACATGCATTTTCAAATATTGGATTTCAGCTCTCAGCAATGTGACAGTGGCTTTCAGAGAGTCTGTCCACCTTCAGACAAATGCAACTATATAAAAAAATAAAATTCAGGCAAAAAGCAAGTGGCCATGCCCTCTCCAGGCTCGTAAATCCTGATTTAGGTCATTTATGTTATATTTATGGTATAAAGTGGTTGGCTTGTTGTCAAATTGCATACAATGGGACACATGAGACTCCTTGTACCCACAACTGCCTTTGTTCTTTGATAAATGAGTCTTGGAAAGTATACCTGTTTTTCATGTGTTAACCCCATGATTGGTGTGCATCATTCTCACTAGGTCACTCTGCACCTTTGTGGGTTTTTTTACCAGAAGAGTTCTTGGCCCAGCTGTGGCTCAAGCCTTTACCTTCTTTGAAGCCTGTAGCAAAGATTTGTTTAAGTTGCCACCTGTGTGACTACAAAATTACCGAGACACAAATGACATAGTATATTTGCAAGCCATTTCATGTAGTCATATTAAATGCAAAAAGATTTTAATATGCATCCTCGGTGTATTATTAGGGTTTCATATATTTTTGGTTTAGACAGGGCCAAAAATAGTTGGATATACTTTGTAGTAGATCACTTAGTCTTGCTCTAGAATTCTTTCTTACCTCAGCTTCATCTCAGATGCTTCCTAAACTTCCAGTGTAGTCAGACTGTGGTAATCAATAGACTACTACAGTTAATCAAAGTTCAAGAAGAAAAACACATAGAAAAAATAAGCTTTCTGGTAAAGAAATCTTTCTTTTTTGTCTTTGCATTTCCATGCCAGTCTTTAGTCCTGTATGTACTTATCCTCTATCTGTCCTTCTGCACAGCTTGTTTGAAATGCTGGTGTAATAGCCATTACTTGAGTATCCAGGTGTATCACCATCAGTGTATTTATCCTGATTATCCACTATTACTCTGGTTTTACAGAGAGGAAGGTAACAGAGCTGCTGGCTGCATCACAACCAGCTGATGGATGCTGTGGTATTATGGTCTCCTGATTAAGGATCTGCCACAGTCTCCTTGGCTCCTGCTGAAGCAGCATATGGACACAAACTTGGGCTTCATATCAACAGAAAGACAAGCCATTCAGCTGGGACCTGAGAGCTCAAAAGTGTTTCAGCTCTCCAGTCAAAGAGTGGCTGAAATCTGAATTTAAATCTGCAGCTCCAAATGTGCCAGGGAGCAAGCTGTCAGCTGCTCTGGATGTGTAATGCTTCCAGGTCCTTCTTGTTTACAGAGTTTGTACTTTGGGTAAGTAAATAATTATTCTTAAGCCAGAAGGTGAATACCCAAGCATGACTGACTATTCAAGGTATTGAAGAACTCGCCCAGGAAAAAAGGGACTTGGGTTCCAATCACAGTTTTAGTCAACATTTAATCTAAAACTGGAACAGAGACTAGAAGTAAAGTGTTTCTGTTTTAAGGTCCTTGCTTCTAAGAGAACTATGTTAAAGAACTAAACAAATTTTTTCTCTCTCCCTCAGTTAACTGAAATCCTTCTTGTCCCTTTTGAAAATGTTTTTTGAAAACGTTAGCATCTCAGGTTCTAGTGTTGCTGTATCTGAGATGGGATTTATAGCTGCAGGTGCATTGCTGCTTCATCCTATTGCACTCTTCCTGCCCCTCACACCCTCTCTCCACACCTGATCCTCACTCCTCTCTGGCGCGGCACGCATCAGACTCCTCTGTCAGCCAAGGCATTTCACTCCTGTGGCAAAAATCTGTGCAGGATTTAACATGGTCTGGCAGAAAACTCACTCACAGATGGGTCTGAGGAGTGCCAGAGATAGCACAGCAATCAGTGTGAATGGGAGGAAGGGACCAATGAAACTTGGGAAACAATCTTCCTCTTTGGTTTCTTTTATTGGTTTGCAACACTTCAGGGAATGACATCCCAAAGCAGACCAATTATGGGAAAAAGGTGGTATTTCTGACTACACTCAAAGTTTGCATGGTCAAACTCTTGTTCCTTTTAGCCAGTTTTATTAGAAATGTTGGTATTTTACCACTTCATATTAAACTTGTCTCATATTTAATTGCAATATTTTAAAAATTTGTCTATTTTTCCTGTGGCTGTAGCTGTTTATCAAATTTGAAACAGAGGCATCACTTGAAATTATATTTTAAAACATGTAACATCTATAAACAGGAGTTTCAAGAAGTTACTAATGTGCATATTTACCTTTATGGTATAACTCTGATGTATCAATTTTCACTTGTATGTTTTGAAATGTTTAGAAATTGCTGAAATTTATTATCTGTCTTTAAAAGATTAAGAAACTTAGTCAAAACTACGAGTGTCCAGAAATCTTCTATCCCAGATCAGCAGCTGTTTAGACAAGCTGACTCTTAAAACCCCTTAGAGAAGGCAATACATTGGTGCTAGGAGGACCTTTCTGAATGTTTGTCATAGTCTCAAACTAAATCCAAAATACAGCACTGTACCAGCTACTAAGAAGGAAATTATTATTGTTGTTGTTGTTATTATTATTATTATTATTATTATCCAGGTTAAACAGGAAAATATGTTACTACATTTTCTCTCTTAAATCAAATAAATTATAATGTAATTGTCAATTTCTATTTTGGCTAAAAATAGTTTATTTTTAGTCTTACATACTGACAAAATAATGCTTTTTTTTTTTTTTTTTTTTTTAGTTTTCAACAGCAAAAAGCTCAGCCTGTCTTTTGATGTTGGTCCTAGAGTTTCCAAATGCTTACTCTGTAGCAGTGTAGCTCATTTCTGCCTGGTAGCTTCCTCTCTGATAAAAGTATTAGCATCCTAACATCCATCAATCTAGCAGATTAGTCTCCTAGAGCAAGAATTTGTTTCAGCCATTTACGCAGTACTGTCCATTTTATTGAACATGATATTCCCAGGCTACATTTAGTACAGAATTTTCCAGTTCTTAATATCAGATATAGTAACTTCGCTTTGGAGATTACTTGTTTTTTTGGGAAACCAACAGGAAAAGTTCTGCTGATAGAGTGGAATTTTATCCTTTCCACCTGCTCTTTCCACCAGTAAGTAAAGCCAGTTGACCTAGAACTTCACATTCAGTATTTAAATATAGCCAAGTAGTTCGTATTTATTTTATTTAGGATCCCACCTCGCTATTTGAAAATACACTTTTCTTAACCCTACTTGAGTGCAATTCTTTCTTGAACTTAATTTTGGAAGAGATTGTTTACCAGTCATTTTCTGAGTATTTCAGGAGAATATCTTCATATCTCTGTAACTCCTCTTCTGTCTTCAGTGATCAGGCTGCAGTATAACTGTTAAAAACTGCTAAGTATAGAAAAATATCTGTTTAATAGGTGAGATCTCTGAAGGATTTTCATCTTTATTTTGTAGAAACAAACTGGATTTTTTTTTTTTGCTTTTACTGTTACATTGCTACGAATAAGGGAGCTAGTGTTTCAAGTAGAAAAAAACCCCTGGTATTTCCTCACTGTGTCATCAGCTATACAAATAAGATACCTTTACAGATGCCCACGTAAGAGATCTTCTAAAATATGTTTTGTATATTGATACAAAGTATAATTAATAAGTATATATTGTATATACAGTTGCATAATTACTGTTAGAATTCAGGTACAGTTGTATAAATTCTTGTGTTATCTGACACTACAGGTTCAGGTAAGGGCAAATACTATATGCAGTCCTGAGTTTTGGATACCATTGAGTTTTGGAATTACGGATAGGTTTTGCCATCAATTCATATCAATTCACATCAATTCATCAATTGGTGTTCAATTCACCAATTCACCAATTCACACAAAGTACTTTTGTGCCCTTCATTGCCTAGGTCTTTTAGGGATTCTCTGGGTCTTGATAGATATTGTCAGTGACCCTGTTGCACAGTGCAGGGTAGAACATACTGCCTTAGGGTGTGAGGTGATACTGCAGCCAGGCTGCCTGATTACAGCAATAACTCACATGTAGTCCAGATTATGTAAAATAACATTTTCTTTTTCATGTCTGCTAAATTCCACTGGTATCCAATTGAGCATGGAGTTATTGTCTCAATGAGTTGGTATAAGTAATGATGGCAGTAATTAGAAAAGAATAGAAAGAAGGAAAAAGTGTTGGAGGAGAAGAACAGGCTTGTCCCCTTCATTGGCAGCATAATGTGAAACTTTACCTCTAAGAAACCTTATGACAGTGATGTTATTTTTAAATGTAGAAGTGTGAGAGAATTATTGCTGTAGTGTGAAACTGCACTCTGTGTCCTCTCTAACATAGGGCTCCTACGACCCTTCTTGGTTTAATCTCTTTCTCTTCTAATTGTCCACTTTTCTTTTGTTGTGGGAGTTCTGATTTACTTCTAGGATGACTTGCAAGCTGTAATTCCCTTTTCACTCCACACACCCTATAAATGGAGGATTTTTGCAAGTGCTTGGCCTCTTTACTCTCCCTTAATTCAAATTCTAAAATGAGATTCTTTACACCTTTGAACAGAACAGTCACCATCTGCCTTCCTAAATCAGCAAGGCTCACTTCAGTGAACTAGAAATCTGTACTCCACTCTTACGACTCTTGGAACTATAGAATGTTCAAAGGCATCTCTGGACATCATCTGGTCCAATTTTCCTGCTCAAAACAAGATCAACTAGGGGAGGTTGCTCGGAGATGTGTCCAGTCAGATTTCAAACATCTCCAAGGTGGAGACTCCACAATCTCCCTGGGCAGCCTCTTCCATGTGCTCAGTCAGCCTCACAATAAAACATCTTTTTCTTATGTTTAATCCTTCTTTACTTCAATTTGTGTACTTGTCCTTTCACTGGGTACCGCTGAGAAAAGTCTGGCTCCATCTTCCCCCAAATGAGAGATGTTCCAGCCCCTTAATGATCTTCATGGCACTGTGCTGGACTCTTTCCAGCATGTCCATTTCTGGCTTGTAGAGACAGTTACCTGCAGTTAGCTGAAGGCCTCATGCAAATCTTTAATTAAAAGATGGGAGAAAATACTTAACAATTAAGAGACTTTTCCTTCTTGTTCTCTGGGTCATTGAAAGAGAGTTACAAGCATGATGATGATACTCTGGAGGCAAACATGCTTCTGTAAATACTCACAAGTAAGAAAAGCAGGCTAACAGCAGCAGTTAGCTGCTCTGTACCTTAGAATGTAGCCATTTCTGACAAAAAATATTCTCTAAATGTATTCAGGGATATATTATACATAAGTTCTAGAGGCTTTTTAGGCAAGACTGTTTTCTGCCTAATAAAGTATTCAATAGCACTTTGTATTTCTTTAGCTGGCAAATAGATATAAATATGCTTGGTTTCAAAGGGAAAGCATGTCTGATATGTATATACTGTATAGGATCAGGAACACTCTCATGAATAAGCCAACAGATCCCAACACAGCAATTCATATAAATGAATTCTGTTCTGTTTTAGAGAAGACAGTACAGCAGCAGAGATGGCAGCCATGGTTATTTAATCACAAATCCTGTGATATTTTATTAGATTCCCTGCTCTTGAAAACTGAATCTCAGTTTGACTTCCAGCATTCTTGGCTGGAAAAAAATTTGAGAAATTGACATGACATTTCGAAAATACAATCAAAAGAAAAAAATAGCTTAATTTTTCCTTCAAGGTGTCTAAACCAAACTCTTTCTCAGATTTTGATTTCTTAGTTTTGAAATGTTCAGACAGGTACTACTGGGCTCAGATTGAAGGGTCACCTCTGCCCAGTTCTGTGGGACCAGGTGCAGCAGCCCTCTGTGGCCAGACTGTCTGATCCTGAGCAGCACTACAGGAGGGCTCTAACTGTTGTGATGTATGATATATAGTATTTTTTGTGTTAGGCATTGGCACACCATTTTCAGAGAAAGGGACTCGCTGGGGATCACACAGTTTGAGGGGAATTCTCCCCACCGTACTGACTGGCAGAGGAACTGATCTCAGGCTTGGCGTACCCTAATGGTCAAGATTATGTTTACAGCTCTAAGGAAGGGAAATCTAAGACTAGTGCTCAGAGGAGGTTGCTAGTATAATTTAAGTCTAAAAGCAAAAGAAACTCATTGTTTCTTGAACGTGCATCTATAATTTTCACAAGATCAATGGCAGATCTTTTATTCTTACATTTTCTTCCTTCTTTTGCATTGCATGTCTGTACATGATAGTGCATGGCAGGTTTTTTCAGTTATGAAGCTCAAGAGTCACAGTTCTGATGGATCTCAAACAAAGGACCTGGTGTGGGCCAACTGAGAACTAAATCCATCTTGCTTGTTTCAGATAGGTAA